GTCACATCGATGGCATAGATGGTTATACATATTATAGTCTCTATTTTATAAACACAAATTCTCTGTTTTAAAACATAAATTCTCTGATTTAAAAATACAAATTTTTTGCTTTAAAGACAAATTAAATTATTTTTTATGCAGTATGTCTGGCGAGACTTCTGCCAAACGCCTTTTGTAGATAGAGCGGTTTAAACTGAGTCAAAAAGTTCTCTGTCATTTTGCAATTTTCGTAATGGTTAACGAGATATTAATTACTAAAATTACATTGCCGAATTGGTCTTCAATAATTTTTTACTTAAATACTATCAATTTTACAGAAAAGCTGCAAGGACCAAAATTGCTTATTTTCTTTTCATAAAGTTTTGAGAATTTTTTTTCAAAAAATTATTAAAGATCAATATTTGGCAAATTTTTAGTAATTATAATAATAATTAACCATTGCTCGTTAACCATTGCGAAAATTGCAAATAGTAGAGAACTTTTCAACTAATAAGTGTTTAATCTGCTCTATCTATAAAAAACATTTAGCCGAAGTCTCGCCAGACCTTATATAATTTGTACTCTTAAAATAGAGAATGTGTTTTTAAAGCAGAGAATTTGTGTAATTGAAGCAGAAAATACTTATTCTAGCTTTACATACATGTTCTCATATCTCTCTATGCCTCTCTATCGATGTATAATAGATTTTATAATCTGAATAGTCGTCAACTTTAACTACGATTAATATCTCAGTCCACGGGGCAGCGCAATACTTTTTTTGCCAAATTCGTTTATTTTGTGCAAATGATCTTAATTTTATCAACATCATAGGTGGGTAAGCTATGGTTGCTAACTGATTGGGGTAATGAACTGGTTTGGCCAGTATTTTCACTCTCCGGCCGATTGCCGATACATGTATCGACCTTTGGTCGATAAGATCCGGCTAAATTTGAAAAGAATCGTACAAATAATCATACAAAATAATTATGACGATTCTATGCAATAATACATATATAAAATGTATCTTTAGCATTATGAATAATTTATGAACAGATGATCGCAACCGACTGTCTGTGAATGGTCAAAGCAGAAATTTGCGTTCATATGAATATTAAAAAAATATGTTCAGAAAGAATTCCATGTATATATTGGTCATCCTACATTGATGGCTGCTATCGGACAGAAAATATGATGTTAAACAAAAAAATTAGATTAAGTAATTCAGTTACGTTTATTTAATGTTCATATATTTTAATAAATAAAGTTTATTATTCTTTTTATTTAATTATACATAGTTTTATTTGGAATTATACACTTCCAAAATCATTTAAATAAGGATTGCGGTTATGGCCGGTAAAAGCTAATTTTATATAATCCGCGTGAAAATATACGATAACTTTGAATTTTAAAGCAACCCTGGAGGAAGCTAAACTTAACAATTACCTTATAATGAATAGGCAGGTTTATTTAATTTTTTTTTATTTAACGATTAAATTTGTTTTGTTATATCAATTTCTGGATTTGATTTTCAAATATCTTTAGTACATACTTAAAGGTGCTGTTTTTTATTATATTAAATCACTAATAACATGAATGTAAAACCCATTCTACAATTGCATAAGCCTAGTCACTATTGAATACGAGAAGAATTATATTAGCAATTCTTACAACTACAATCACTTACAACTACACTTACGCAATTGTATTAGACTTAAGTTTTATTTGAGCTAGATGGGAAAAATTATACCTATCAATCATTTTATGTTTGTCGTGAAAAAAATTTTTCGGACATTAATTTTGAAAATTTCTTTCATATTTTGAAATTTCGTTAAAATCATTGCTAAAAATCTTCTTACTGTCCCGCGATTTTATCGCGTATTTATGTTTCTTTATTCTCGAAAGATTTATCATCATTAAAATAAAATTATGTTGTATAATTAAGGAGTCTAATGAAAAAGAAAGTAAAATATCATTCTCTCCTTAATCCAAATTACTTAATATTGATAATATCTTATTTTTAAAGGAAGCTTCGAAATAAAAACTTAATTTTTGAAAATATTTGTGTCACACAAACTTTAGCAAAATTTATCGAAAAATTATATAACGTTAATATTTCTTCTGCTCAAAAAGTACCCGGAATTTCTCATTGATGAAAGACACGTGTTAATAGTATGTTAAAATGTTGCTTTTTTTCAATAAATTAATACAACACTGTTTTCGATTGATGCAAAATTTGAGTGCGATCTGTAATTTAGTTTGTTTACGGCAACTGTTTATATGTCTATCTTAGCTGCATCGGATTTTATAATGGAAAAAAAGTTGAGCAAAGAATGTGTTTGAAATTTGTGTTGCTAACGAAATTTCTTGTATCAATGCATTAAAAATGTTACAAAAACGGGGACTCTTCTCTCTCTCGAAAACAATCCTCCTAAGCGTATGAGTAATATAAATTGTTTAAAGATAGCCGTAAAGATAGAAGATTTATCGCATTCTGTCTATCGACATCAAATTATGATATTTTTGACGGACGAAAACGTCGATAAAGTGAAGAAAATTATGTTTGTAATTATGTCGTGTGAATGAAAGAGAGACTGTTTCAATCCTTAGCATCTCTAATGGTTCGGTTCATCACATTTTTGGAAAGATAATACGTAGATTTTGTATCATGATAATATGCCGTCGCACACAATGTCTTTTGAATGCGACTTTTTGAACAAACATGCAATCATGCCCATATTTAGTATACATGGCATCTATACATGTAACTTTTTCTTGTTTCCGAGATTCAAATTTGCCACTACAGGAAAGCGTTTTGATTCGATTGATTTCATAAAAGAAAAATCGATGAAGGAGCTGAAGATCAGGAGCCTATGAAATGTGCTATAAAGAGTAGATTAATTGCTAAAATATGTGTAGAGTAATTCCGATATATACGCCGAATCTTAATTTATTAAGTATTAATTATTATTTTTAAGAAAAATGAACTATAAAAAATATCAGAAATTCGAAAAATTTATTTTTCGTAATATATGGCTACTCATAGGAGGAGGGGGGGGGGGAAGATATGTATGGCTCACGAAAAATCTACAAATAATGCTTATAAATAAGACGTAAAATAACATAATAATTTAAAAAATGTTTACTTTTAAAAAGTTTTATTAAGTTTTATTAAAGAATAAGAATGAGAAATATGAAATAATAGATATTACAATCTTCCTACATATATTATAAGTATTATTACATGAGATATTTGTGTAATGTGTTTATTGCATTTAGTGTACTGAATTCAATCTACATTTTGTATGCTTTGGACATAAAATTCCACTCGCTAAAAATGCTATATATTCCAAACAGGCGAGATATACAAGACAATAACTAACTAATATAATAATAACTAAATAAAAATAAACTAAACAAAGAATACAAGAGCAAAGCACTTATATTTTGTTATACTATACTATAACATGCTTTATTATCCTCTACACTTATGTATCATAAAATAATCACTGTCTTTTACGCACCCAACAGTAATCATTTTACGTAGATTATAATTTATGATGGCGCTACTTATTACAATGAGAAATCAGTTCAACTCACAATATTTCATTAATATTAACAGTAAAAAACTGAAATCATAACACAAATATAAAGGCATGTAACAGAGTAGTTGCGAGAAAATTACTCCCACTCCTACTTTCTCTGACTTCTGCGGCGTAAATCCCAGCGCGGCATATTTGCCGCGGCATATTTGCCGGAGTTACTCTATAGCCTCGAATAGTGATTATTTTAAAGGGGATAAATTATCCTAAATTTAAAATTTTGCGTTTAATTTAAAATTTTCTGGGTACTTTTTGAGCAAATGAATGCATTTGCGTGGATTTTTTGCATAAAATTTTTGTCATATTATCATCATATAATTACCATATTTGCCCGAATATCCCCACTCAGATGCTTTCGATGCTTGCAAACCTGTAATTATACAATACTCTTAGTCGTTTCTTTTTGTACCAAAAAGTGTTTACTTTTCAATTAATATCTATATAGAAATAAACTTTTAAAAGTACAAAATTATGTATGAATAAAATGCGCAACAATTAAGCGTCATTAATTATCCCAACAAATTAAAACAACTAATTGAATTAAGTTTGTCAACATAAATTACTAATATTACTAATAAATATAATGAACCTATTACATAAAGAAAAATGATTTTTATATCTTATTATAAATTTTAAACCCAATAAACACATGATAATATATTAAATGTTCATTAAACGTAAAGTACGTATAAAAATAGTATAAGAATAAAAGTAGTATAGCAGATAAACAGTTTAATTTTTACCATTTTTATGCAATCGTATAATACATGATAATGATATCCATTTTTATTATGTTTCCATAAGATAAAACAGACTTTATATGTTGAAAACCAGTATATAAAAAGAAAGGTTTAATTTTAAGAGTGTATCTAGTTAATACATATATATTTATATAATCCAAAAAACTGTTTATTGAAAACATATATGATTTATAAAAGAGATCTCATTTGTAAACAAAATATTATTGTACAAATAGTATAATCATACATTTTTAAAATGTCAATAAATGGTTGTACAAAAAACTTACACTATACACTTTTATAGCTAAAATATACGATTAATAAACATATTTTATTATTTATATTAAATCCTTATTAAGTTGAATAGAAGTATGTTTTCAACATTTATAATAATCAAACATATTTCCTTTCATAAATGTGTCAAGATATCGCGTTGTACAATTATTCATAATATACTTCTATGATATGTATTTTGACTATAATATTTAATGATATGCCCAATAAACACATGTTGGTATACTACGCGTTTATTAATGTAAGTGTATAAAATTGATATTGGCATATACGTTAAAAAATAGTTCATAAAACATCAGAATTTTATCTATTTTTATATAAAAATAGTATAATATTCTAATTAAGGACATTCTCCGAAAAAATCCATTTTCTTTTAAATTTTTCTGAA